ACCGTTATTTTACTGAAGATATCACCTATGCAGTTTTATTTCGGAAGGCAGTCTTCGTAAATTACTTAAATTTAATTCTTAGTCAGTCGTTAGGACTCCTTGGACGGGGGATCAACCCGTCGCAAGGCCTCTACCTACACATAAAACAACCTAAACATAAAATAAACGTACACAGGTATCCATGACTTGAGTGGATTCGAACCCACAACCCCAGTGTTCGAGTGGGTGAAGACAGTTCATGGCTTATACTTCGCGGCCATTGGGATCGGCGCAAATCTTATTTTGCCTCTCACAGATTAGATACGGAGATGGTACAATAAGTAACATGGATTTAGTATCAAGGACGTGAGAAAGATTAAAAGCTTTCTGCATTATAAGACCACGGATGTTTTATTTACGAAATTCATTTATCTTGAAGATATATTCTAGCACAGACTGCCAATTCTGTATATGAGATTACTACCGTATTAAAAATTTGCAAATATCATTCTTAGGTCTGAGTGGAAGCTGCAGTTATTTTGGAATATTAAATGTGAAAATTGGGCACCCTTATATAGTAATATAAAATGCCTTATTTTTAATCTCCCCCTTGTAAAATTAACACACTAAGCACAAACACTGGGATGCAGGAAAATGAAAATCTTAAGTGTTGTAATTCTGCCTGAGACTACGAGTATCCCACATTTGAAATTGAACGCGAACGCATACTGTCTGTCTGTCTATCCGTCCGTCCGTCCATCCATCGCTCTACAGCCCTTTGGGATGGGGTAGCGCATTTGGTTGAGACACTATGCTACAAGCCGGAAGGTTTCAGGTTCGATTCCCGATGAGTGTATTGGATGTTTCAATTGACCTAATCCTTCCATCCGCACTATAGCCCTGGGAGCGACTCAGCCTCTAACAGAAAATGAGTACAACGAATCTTCCTGGGGTAATGGGCGGCCAGAGCGTAAGGCTAACCTCACCGCCACCTTTGAGCCGATTGTCTAGAAAAATGTGGAAGCCTCGACACCCTATTGACCTCCACGGCCTGTTACAGGGATAGTTTTACCTTTACCTTTTGAGGTTCTATAGCACTTTGTTGGACCCTGGCCACTTTTTCAGTTTAGTAATCCTATACACAATCAGTAGGACTTCTTAGAGGGGGGATCAGCCTGTCGCATGGCCTCTACCTACATAAAGGACAACACAAACACAGAATAAGAGCACACAAACATCCATGTCAAGGGTGCGATTCGAACCCACGACCCCAGCGTTCGAGCGGACTAAGACGGTTCATGCCTTAGACCGCGCGGCCACTGTGATCGGCTCCAGGTATATTTTCTAGACTTAATTCGACGAACGCCTGCCACATTTAGCGTTCCTCACTCGACGTGGTAACCATGAGAGAGCAAAGCAACCTCTCTCCTAGTTTCTACACAATGGAAGTAATGACATTCATGCAAAGACGTCACCATTGCCAACAAAGTACTGTCACTCATGTTTCCTCTTGACTCTTCTTTTATTAAATACGCGATGAGTGCCTAATTGCAATATTCCGGAAAAATAAAAATATACAGATTCTCAAGACAAGTGATAAATGTTTTCTGTTAAATTATGTGGAATTTACCCAATCTTATCTCACAGTTGATCTATGGATTTATTATATCTTGGAAGATTCGTGCACCGAGCGAAGGAGCGCGTGGCACAGTTAAGTTATCTTCTAAATTGTATAGCGTACTGACGATTTGTGAAAGGCATCGATTCAATACATTTTAACTGAACTGCATTTCGTGGAATAATTTATGGTACTGCGAGCATATAAGAATAAGTTCTGGGAATAACTAATCGCCTATTTTCCTGTCACTACGATTTTGATATTTGATGCAACAAACAGAAACTTTGGTACGTACGCATAATGCAGTAAAACAAAAATGCAATATGAGAGGCTGCAGTGTTTGTATTACTAATGGGACGGATTTATGAAGTGCGCCGTTGAGATGGGCTCAGGTGGCACGATATACACACCAAATTTCATGACGATACGGTCATCAATTCAAGCACTGTTAAAATGATTGCTCCAACTATCTGAGGCTGCAATGCTGGTATTACTGATGGTACGGATTTACAAGGTATGCCTTTGAGATGACAACAGGTTACATGACGTACATACAGCATTCCATTAAGATTGGTACAGACGTTCAAGCAATATTAAGGTTTTGCTAAGTAATCTGAGAAGCTTCAATGTTTGTATTAATGATGGGAGGGATTTACGACGTGTACCGTTGAGATGGGCTAAAGTGCAGTAATATAAAACACTAAGTTTCATAAATATCGGTTCAGGCGTTCAAAATTAAGGTGATAAGACACACACACAGACAGCAATGTGATCTCATACGCCTACTTCTATTTTTTCAAAATACGGAATGTCGGCAAAAAATAAAAATTTGATTTTAAATTTCATGACTAGACCTGCCAACATATGTATGTCCTATTTCCGGATATTTCCCAGTACAGACCGTAGTTTTATGTCTGGCCTATTGATTGTGGAGTGAGGAGAAGTATGGTAAAATGTATTGGGGCAGTGGTTGCAGCTACAGCAAGAGAGGAAGGGGGACGCATTATAATTAAGGACCCTGACAAATCCATACTCTCCCGCTGACATAAAAATTGTATCCTTATATCAAAGGGCTCGACTAAATCCAATGTGCATCCTGGTAAGGCAGTATGATCGCATGAGAACTGATGTTCCTTTCGCCCTACACAACGGAACAGACGTGCACCTGAACCTCAAGTTCGTGCAAGGAGAATGTCAGCATTTAAACTGCTGCATCCGCACTCACAATCTTCACATGTGAGAGATACCTGTGACCAATCTCGTGAGGATAACTGAGGAGCTATTCCAAGGAAATAGCAGCTCCGGGCTAGAAAACCGTGATTAACGGCAGTGGGGATTCGTTGCGCTGACCACGCGACACCTCCCATCCGCTAAAATTGACACGAACTTCGCCGACAAGCGGCGATCGCTCGGTCGGTATTGTTCGCCTGCGGACTAAAGCCACTGAGTTTTCTTTTGTGGTGTACTTTTTAGATGCACATTAAGTTCCCTCTGAAGGCAGAATATTAGTGTTTAAACGTATGAACATGTAAGCTACTGACCTACTGCAGGAATTTTCAGGCTTTGTAATACCACAATTCCCGAAAATACTCGAATTTATGCAATCCGCAATTTCTGCCGCTCCGCGAGAAGTGCATTTCTGCAAACTGTTACACGTATCTGACTGTACAGTGCTAACTTTACTTACAATTAGCTATGAAATGTTCCTGTACAGTCACAAAAGGATTGGCGAAACGCGTCGCCGACTGCTACATTTTTCGAAGGCACATATATTTAATGTTGCTGACTTGTCGAATATGTGTGTGTGTGTGTGTGGATACAACTGTAGTTTCGGTAATTCTTGACAAATTGTGGACCTCTCTTAGAATAGGTAGCGATCCCCTGGAGGGGTCCTCGACCCAAGCTTGACCACCATGCCTTGGTAAAATTCTAACCGTCTTGCGGCGTTCGAGTTAATCAGGAAAGTAGGTCTATCACTCATTCATGGTGCTGAATCCTTCTTGAGAAGCCGTCAATTGTGCAGCTACTCAAAAACTTTCCCAGCACTTTATGGAACCCGAAGGTTCATTACCGTGTTCCCTATCCTGAGCCAGATCGATCCAGTCCATACGATCCTATCTAAGATCCATTTTAATATTGTCCACCCACCTACGTCTTGGTCAATGTAGGTCTATATTTATACAAATACAACTAATGTTCATAGTACTTCAATATACGTCGCGAGTGAATGGTTAGCACTCCTGCTTCGTATTCAGGATATCTCTGGTTCAATTCTCGGTTCAGGGCTTGGGTCATTCTTATGACTTCTTGTGCTTCTTCCCATCCCATGCGAAGGCCTCAGTGGTCTTGACACCGGGGTTCACTGGTGTATATCATTACCGTAATTAGGAACGTTACGGTCGAGTGCCTGCATTTCTGTTTCGTATTCGCATTGAAATCTAGGCCCAGAAGCCGACTGTTCTAACTGAAGTTCGCGATATTCGTGAAATCCTTCAAGACAAGTGCTCCTTCCTTCCTCGTCTTTCTTAGTTCATCGGGAAAATATCCTACGTGAGTATTTCCTCGAGTTATGTGGGCCAAAGAACCAACAAATAGCTGGGCTATCAGCACACTGAAGACGAAGAGGGTAAGAGATAGTGCGAAGAAGAAACGGTCATCAAGTAACTTCTTTGACCCTCAATCCGAGATTCCCCACATCACTGACGCCACGTCCGGTTTCCTGAGTACAAAACATGGGAGAAGTAAGCTACAGTGGCGATGGCAGTGGTAGTTTGGGAACTAAAACTCTTGTAAAAGAGCAAACATTCGGCGCCTTGAATGTCAAAGTCGTCATTGGACACCATTTGGTGCCAGTTCAACCCAATTCACATCACAACAGGATTCCTTATGATTTACACGATTTAGTGTGTTTTCTTTCCATTCCCAGTTTTCCTAATGTCTACCTCCCAAGCTATTTCAGGGTCAAAATGTTTGGTGAATTGTTGCTTCCCCCATTCGAGCTACATGCCCAATCCTACTGATTTACTTACGCTGTAGAAATTGCTCGTTATTCAATAATTTCGATCCCACTTCCTTTATCTTTTTCTTGGTAAGCTAAACATGCTTTTATTTCGCGTCTAAGTACTCGTTGTATTATTTTACTGTTATTTCGGGCTCTTGTGAGAACCATATTGAACTTTCGGAAAATTTCTGACCAGCTATGCAACTATCAGTTTCTCAAGGCGGGCTCTGCTCCACGGGGTTAGTTGTTTCATTATTATTGTTTACATATTAGGGACCCGCAAATACTGTTGTACCGAGACGTACGAGGTAATGAGTATCTTCAACTACAAGGCGAACTTAACAGTCCTATACTAACAAAGCTTCTTGGAAAACGTTTGCTTATGTTATAAAACGAACTTACCTGGTACCGAAGATATTTTTCTACCTAGCCTTCTTTAATCCCAGCGAACACCACCACTGATACAGTTTGTTTCGAACAAACTTTCTGGCATCGGTTACTTTTACTTATTAGATATTATATATTGAAGTACGAATGAAAGCACAATAATTGTTTCTATGATCATTTAAGTCAACACTTTTCTTCTGTACTTGTGAATTTCTGTTTGAAATGACGCGTAGATAAGATCACCACTAGATCCATTCACATGTTCACTAACAATGAAGTTATCGTGACCTGTATTAATTTATTTTGGCCCACACAAAGTGACATTCTCTCTCGAAGTTCCCCGCCCTCTTGTTTAGCTGTAACTGAAAGCGAACTTCACATGAAGTAATCTTACGGCAACTCCTGATGTCACAGTGTATATCTCTTGCAAGGAGAGGCGTAATGAGGGGAGGTGGAGGAGGAGGAGGAAGTCGGCACCGATTGCTTCAAACTAACAGTGGCTTATGTCGTAGAATACATTTTACGTTTCCTGTAGTTTCATGTTGTTTCTTAACTTCTAAGGCGTAGTATAGTGTTTCCTAACTATTCAAAAGAATCTTTCCAAAGACGCACAAGGCCATCAATACCAGCTCATGATCAGTTCTGATGTTGCTGCCGGGTCGTCGACCTGAAATCTTTTTCAGCTGAAAGCGAAGTCAGTAGAAAAATTAAAAAAGAAAAGGGGGGGGGGGTTTTTCGGGTTTCATGTGCAGCCCGATTCGAGTCAACACAGCATACCTTTTAAGAACATCAACACTGCGCTGAAAATGTACAGGGCCCACTAATTCTTGAAGCGTAATAAAACCACGAAACCTATCAGTCAAAATAATCAGTGTCCTGGCCAGGATTCGAACTGAGCATTTCCCGAATACAAGTCATTAACGTTAGAGCCAAGAAGAGTCAAGTTGCTCAGTGCAAACCTGTTTCAGCACTGATAGTTTACAACAGTGATTGTGACCTCTGCGGTCTAGTGTCACGAGTTCCTGGCTACAGAGCCAGAGGTCCCGGGTTCGATTCCCCGGATCTGTCAGCTTTTCTGAGAAGCAGTGGGTCTGAAACGGGGTCCACTGAGCCTCGTGAGGATAATTGAGGCGCTATTTCAAGGAAATAGCGGCTCCTTACTAGAAAACCGAGATTAACGGCCGTGGGGATCCTGACCCCGGGACATCCTCTATCCACTAAAGCTGGCACTAACTTCACCGACAATCGGCGGTCGCTCGGTCGGTATAGTTCGCTTGCGGACTACAGGCCACGGAGTTTGATTTTGTTTGTTTGATTCCTAGATTGTTTTCCTCTATACCCAGGGATTACATGAGGTTTCCGTGCAGGTTCATTTCAGGGTAACACATTGAGTTTTGTTGGGACTGTAACTTCGTTACCATTCCTACAAAGAACAAGTCAGAGACACATGTGCTATTTAGAAAGGCTGTTGTATTGAAGCAAGCAAAATAATGAACATGAGACGCAAGATAAGCTAGTGCGTGCATTTCGGTTGTGGAAAGAAGATAGCACAGTGCTTTATTTGCTAAGTAGCAGACCGTACAAGTCTTTTTGTCCCTTATTTATAGATATAAGCGCAAAAATACCGTTGCAAAGTCAATCACGCTACAAATATGAGATAACACTGTGTAGATAGTCAGAAATCAGCTTGTACTTATGTTGACCATATCGAAACTAATGTCCAATTAAAGCTGTACGCCGTAATAAAGCCGGTGTTTTACAGTGTGTATCAGTCTTGTGGTGGGGGCACGCGATAGCGTAGTTGGTTGAGGCACTGTGCTACAAGCCGGAAGGTCGCGGGTTCAAGTCCCGATGAGGTCGTTGAGTTTTATTCAATTTACCTAATCCTTCCAGCCGCACTATGGCCCTGGGGTCGAATCACCATCTAACAGAAATGAGTACCAGGAATTAATTAAATAATTTTCCTGGGGAGTAAAGCGCGGCCGGCGCGTAAGGCTGACAACCTTACCGCCATCTTTGAGCCGACTGCCGACTGTCTAGATAATGTGGGACCCTCAACGTCTCACAACCCTATGGGCCTTCACGCCCGTTACAGTGATAGCTTTACTTTTTTTTTTTTTTTACCAGTTTGTGGTACGATACCGCTTTTGATAAAATTGACAAAGTTTGATTTGAACTTCAAGCAAAGAGGATAGGGAATCAAATTCGCACACCAAATCTTAGTATAGATACTCCAGTACCAATGTTCATCGAAGTACAATCAGAAATTTTGGACGAACCGAGCAAGTTGGCTCAGGCCATAACCCTTCCAATTTCTATTCGTGAAGGCGGCCAGTTCGAACCTCGGCCGGGAAACCGATTATCATGACTGAGGTCCATCGTGATTTTCCTCGTCCCTCAAAGCATATTCCTGGACAGTGCCTTTAAATTATGGCACGGCTGTCTCTTTCCACATTCTTTCCAATTCATTGTTCACTTTCATCCTACCATTCGCGCTGTAGTGGAGTTACTGACAAACAAAAAAGAAAACAATGAACTCCGTGGTTTTAGTCAGCAAGCGAATTATACCGACCGAGCGACCGCCGCTTGTCGGCGAAGTTAGTGCCAAGTTTAGCGGATAGAGAGTGTCACGTGGTCAGCGAAATGAATCCCCAAATCAATTTCGGTTTTCTAGACCGGAGCCGCTATTTTCTTGAAATAGCTCCTCAATTATCCTCACAAGGCTGAGTGGACACCGTTCCAGACCCATTACTTCTCAGCGTCGTTAAATAAATTACAAATAAATACAATTGAAACATAGGGACATGTGTAGGACAAACAATACCAATCCAGTTGTTCGATGTATTTCGTCCCTTTCCTCTTCTTACCACTAAAGTGTGTATTGGTGTCATCTGCTGATACTGCACTAACTTTTTCAAGGAGACTTAATTTCTGTAACACTTCTAACATATACGACGGTCATACTGAAAGTATGAGCAACAATTTTTTGTAAAATAACATGCTTTATTATTGACAAACCAAATACACCACCTCAATCTACAGACCTTTCTTTATTTTTCCACATAATCGCCACTTCTTTGTACACATTTCTCCCAGCGTTCTGAGAGTTTGAAAATTCACCTTCTGTAAAATTCTATTCCAGCCATCCGAAGATACTGAGGCACTGCTTTCTGAATTGCCTCTTGTCTCAAAACGTTGTCCACGCAGCTGATCCTTCACAAATCCGAAAGGATGGTAGTCGGAGGGTGCCAGATCAGGGATATAGGAGGGGTGAGGAAGAACTTCCCACCCCATCTTTGCAAACGCAGCTGATCCGAGGCGAGCGGCGTGGGGGCGAGCGTTGTCATGCAGGATGATGTTTCGTCCCGGACGTTTATCGCGCAATGCACGTCGGAGCTTGTGCAGCGTCTGGACATAACGAGCAGCATTGATGGTTTGCCCAGGTTCCAGGAATGCGGCCAGAATAAACCCCTCTGCATCCCAGAAGACTGTGCCCATCACCTTCGCAGCTGATGGCACTGTCTTTGCCTTCATTTATGCTGGAGAAGGCAAATGGTGCCATTCCATACTCTGCCGTTTCGTTTCAGGCTCGAAATGGTGAAACCAGCTTTCGTCACCTGTCACAATACAGAGCAAAAAATCATCGCCTTCGTGTCGATATCTCAGCAGCAGTTCTGAGGTGATGGCTTTTCGCTGATCTTTGTGATCTTCGGTCAATAACCGCGGGACCCAACGAGCACAAACATTCCTATAGCCCAAGCTTTCAATCATCTCCTGTACTGCACTGGGCCCTATTCCAAGTTTTCGGGCTATTGTGTCCACAGTCACACGCCTGTCATCTTGAATGATCTCATCCACTCTTTCCTTGTTGCGTTCAGTTGGGGCTGTTCGAGGACGACCGCTCCGAGGCTCATCTTCGATGCTGGTGTTGCCATCTTTAAAATGTTTCACCCATCTTCGAACACTGCTCGCACCCATGCACACACTTCCATAAGCACCCTGAAGTCTCTGGTGAATTTCTGCAGCAGGGATTTCCTCTTTCACAAGAAATTCGATGACAGCACGCTGGTGAAAAGAGATCGTTGTCGGCCATTTTGTTAGGAATGATACTGGTCACGTGATGCAAGCTTTTGACGTCACAAGACACTCAAGGTTAACACGACAGCTGGTTCCACCTACCACCGTACTCTATTTCGTCTGCTGTCCCCAGTTTGCATGCAAAAAATGTTGCTCATGACTTTCGGTACGACCTACGTAAGAAAGCAGTAGATATGAAGTTTAACCATCTAAATTAACTAACTGTACCACCTTGACCATCACACCTTTTTCTGCGTGAAAATATCTAACAATCAGGGGGACTAACTTTTCGTCCAGGTGGTTAGATGAGTCAGTCAATACAGAAATGAAACGATATTCTTTTATCTCTTGAAAAATAAGTTTTGTTGCAAATGGCCCAATAACAATGGTGATTATTGCTCTGCATTTTGTTTGTGAATATGCAAATTTATCGCTGAAAAGTTTTCTCCCGCTAGTGGTTGTACAGTCCATGGATTTGAAGCTGTGGTTATGTGTCTCAGTATGGTACGCAAAGGCTGCTTCCTGTGCTGCTGGCGAGACCTGCTTTTCCATTTCGCTAATATTATTCGTACTTAAGTACGTACGTACTTAAATAAGTTGGAAGTTTTCTTTGAACTGCCAGTTTGTTGTTTTTTTTTTCACCTGACTGACTACGTCCGACCGACCAACATGTGCAATGCGAACATTCGCGTTGCCTAACGTGCATTCAGCATTCCCATTAATACCTTTAATAAACGGATATTCGCTCTTTACTATCATTAACATTGCACTTGCCTTTTGCCATCACTATATGGATGAAAACCGATAAATTCTCGCAGGATGTCACAACACAACGTAACGGTCGACAAAGAATGCAGAGAATGATACAAACGGAACTTCCATTATGGAAGCAAATCGCAATACTACCAACATAAATACAAGAAGACGTTGCCAAATTAGAAACTAATAATTTGTGAAATTGTGTTGTGAATTAGCCACCAGGAGTGTTAATATTATTACAGAAATGCCTATTGCAGAGGATAAAATCCGTTACCGAGCGTTTATCGATAGAAATTAATATTACAGAAGAGCATTTAAAAACGGGGACATTTAAAATAAATCCGGAAGAGAGGGGCATTATATGAAAAAACGGGACTAATGGGAACCCTAGTGGATGAAATGTGTAACGGATGCACTGAACGCTTGGAGGATGTCTAAAGAATAAAACTGTAGATAATATTACGGGGAAGAATGATACGGAAAACTAGGATCGGCTGCGAAACGTACTGTCCAGTTATCGTTTTTCCGGCTGCACGAGGTGGGGAAAGGAGGGGTAGTATCACTGAAGCCCTGGTATCAGTGGAGACATTTTGCTCTTTGTCGCGTGGAACAATGAATTAATAATGTATTCACTTATATCTGTATTTGGCCGCGCCACAGCTCAAGCGGTTAGCCGCTGGCTTCCCACCGCGGCGGCCCGGGTTCGCTTCCGGGTCTGGTCAAGTGGGATTTCTGGTGGACAAATTGGCGCTGGGACAGGTTTTCTCCGAGTACTTCGGTTTCCCCTGCCAATCTTCATTCCACCGACTGCTCCACAATCACTCTCACCTATCATCTGGGGCTGGTACAAAAGGCCAGAAGTGGCCGCAGTACAAGGGACTTAGTCCCACCCCACTAGCAATAAAAAAATATATATCTGTATTTGCAGGATTAAATTTTACAATTTACATATTCAACGGCGGATCAGGATCAAAACTGGTACAACTACTTTCAGAAGCGAAGTTACTTTTTTAGAATGTATAGTATTACCAATGCATTACACAAACTGATCTCGCTGTCATTTTCAGTCACTCCTGCACGAAGTCACCGCAAACCTAGCACAAGAGTCGGTAAGTACGGTCAGTACTGTACTACGATCTTCTGGGACGTGCCTCCATCTGGAGGCAGCAGGTTCCTCCGAAACCTTGATTCTCAGCTAGCACATCCAAAAACATCGCATTTTTGGTATTTACTGTCACGAACACTCAAAACTTGTCAACACACGTTTCCTTGCATTCCCTCAGCATGCATTACCCAGCTGGTTTTATATTTTATTTCATGATTTTGTTTAATGTGAGTTATGTTACTGGGGCACGCGGTAGCGTAGTTCGTTGAGGCACTATGCTACAAGCTGGAAGGTCAAGGTTTCGATTCCGATGATGTCATTGCATTTTTCAATTGACCTAATCCTTCGGGCCGCGCCATGACCGTGGGGTCGACTCGGACTCTGACAGAAATGAGTACCAGGAATCTTCCTGGTGGTAAAAGGCGGCCGGCGCGTAAAGCTGACAACTTCACCGCCATCTGTGAGCCGATTGTCTATAAAATGTTGAAGCATCTCGATGTCTCACAGCCCTGCGGGCTTTCACGGCCTATTACAGGGATAGTTTTATGAGTTACGTTATTTTTTTAGTACGTATGTTTCTTTTTTTTTCTTCTTCATCGAAGTGTGTTTTACCGGTCCTGTCTTAAATTTAATTTCAGAGGTTATAATGCAATCATTATCGAGGTTTGAGAGTGAAAGCAAATTAATCGCAGCTTTTCTTCAGCAATTACGATAATTCAAGCTAAGTTGTTGCATGTTATTTTTCTTCTCTGGCAGGATTTTAAATATGAAAGACAGATGGTTTCCGTACTTATACATTGTAAGAAGAAAAATCATAACGCCAAAATTAATTTTTAATATTTCATTGACTCTACAGGCTATTTCAGACTTGGCCTTCTCTAATCAAATTTTTTTTTTCCTAAATCCTATTCAGACAGATAATAAATCAGCCAAAATCCAAAGGGCGGCATAGGAAATAATGCGGACAAATACTCGTATTCATGCTCAAAGCGTGCGGCCACGCGGGTCGACCCTGTTCAGTCTATTGCTCTTACTTGACCTCTGTTGTGGCAGTAGATTCGTCTTGACCCCAGAGCTGAGCTCACCCTACTTTACAGAATTCTATTATGTGGTTGAAACCAATTGCAGTCGAAGTAAGTGTTATATTACCATGTGTTTGTCTGATAAACGGGATTTGCATAAAAGATTCGCACAATTTTAAATAATAATAATAATAATAATAATAATAATAATAATGTCAAATGTTATAACACGTATCAGTAAATGTATCAACACTGTGTTCTAACCACTCAGTATACTCCTTGTTTGAAATGTGGGGTTTTCATAAAAGAATCGCCTGATTTTAAGCAACAACAACCATCATCATCAGCAGCAGCAGCATTATCGGCAAAACAGCCGATGGCTGAAAAAAAAAACAGCCTTCTTTAGAAAATTCTGTCAGACTTCCCTGAAGTAGACCATCCGGTTTTCACTTATTTGGGTTTCGCAACAGTATTTTTTTTTTTACGGATCAAGGTTGTCAGTCTTGCGTCCAACCCCCAACCTGGAAGACCAGGTCTCTGTATTAAGAGAAAATAGAACAGCATGTATCGGTAAATGTGGCAACACTGTGTTCTTTCACTCATATACGAATAGTTAACTCCAAGCCCGAAATGTTCCCCTACACTTCAGCAAACATGTGGGAGCTGCTTTAAGTCCAAGACTTCCGAACAAGTGGATCAGTAGCTTGGTCATCTAGAAATCCTGATTTAACCATCTTGGACTTTTCTCTTCTGGGAGTGAACACCGTCTACTCCCAAAGAATCCGAAATCCGAATCGTACAAGACGCAGAATCTACGCTGCTATTGAAGCTGTTACACCGGAAATGCTTACGCACGTGTACATTGAAGCTGAATAACAATTTATGCTTGCAGGGTGATACGTGGTGCACATACCGAAATCCATAAAGTTCTGTGAGCGTCATATGGGATTTTTGTGTCTTTTGTATTTAAAAAAATCGTTTTTTATTATTTATCTTAGCTAATTTTTTCTTCGTCTAAGGCATGCATTGTCTTCGCTCGCTCGGAAGCCGAGATCGTGGGTTCGAATCCCACTCAGGACATGGATGTTTTTGTGCGTTTTTCTGTGTTTGTCTACAGGTAGAAGCCTTGCGACGAGCTGATCACTCGCCCAAGGAGTCCTACCGTATGTGTAAGATCTAGAAAAACCGAAGTGAACGGAGAAGTTCATGGAGGTAGGCCTAGGCCCACTGGGGCTGTAGTGCCAAGGGAAAAAAAAATTCTTCAAGGTACCCGATGATACCGTTCTTTTATTTAAAGCCTGTATAAAAAAAGACATTCATTTTCGTTTCATGGATTTAAATTCGATGCAACGAAAGGGTGACCGATGAAAATAAAAGTGTGTCATGTAAAGTAAGAGGTAAAGTAAGCCCTGCCGGCCACGGTAGCCGAGCGGTCTAAGGCATGCACTGTCTTCGCTCGCTGGGAAGCCGTGATCGTGGGTTCTAACGCTACTCAAGGCATGGATGTCTGTATTGCGTGCGTGTATTCTGTGTTTGTGTTGTGTGTGTAGGCCTTGCAACGGGCTGATCCCCCGTCCAACGAGTCCTATTGACTGTGTATAGGATCAAGATACTGAAAAAGTGACAAAGGGCCAACAGAGGGCTGTAGAATAATAATAATAATAATAATAATAAA